AATATTAATAAATACCAAATACCAAATATTATAGTTCACTAGTTATGATTATTTTTATTGCTATAAATTCTATTTCAATTATTGGAATTGTGATTCAAAACATCAGTTGGGGGGGAGGGGGTGTCCTTCAAGACCCTATACCATTCTCACAAATAATAATTATCTACAGTGTTAAAAATTTTAAATGGGATTAATTATCGGTATGAGAATGATATTCATCAATGTTGACTTTATTAGTAAATTTCTACATACTGTATTACAATGTTATTGAGATATATTAATATTGTTTTTGTTAACAGTGGGGTTATTGCACGAACACAGTACTGTATGCATATACCCGACCTGACCGTGCAGAATATTGTGTTGTCTTCTGGGATATAAAAAACAATGAAAAGTATTTGAAATTTGTCAAGAGTTTAATCTCCATAACAACCTGTGGAGACTTCTGTATTCTGGCCACTAAAGCTGATGAAAATCAATTACAGGTATTATTGCTTATTTTATAATCTTATCTGTTAGTCCCAACTGTTATGCTTTCTTGATCTATAATTGAATTCTTATCATGAAATTCTAAATTCTTCCTAGCACTATAGAACATATGAATTGGAAAGAATATTATAGGTTACCTAGTGTAATCCTCTGCTCAGTATAGAAATCCCCTAAACCACCTCTTGATAGGTGCCCATCCTGCCCTAATTCATCCAGTAAAGAGTGTACCACTCTTCTGGGCAAACTGTTCTGTTGCATAACAGCACTTATAATTGTGAAATTCCTCTTAGTATTCAGCCTGTACTACCTTTGATTTCAACAAAGTACAAGTCCATTCCTTCTGTATGTGACAGCATTTTAGAAATTTGTAAATTTTTACCACATACAGCAGCATCTACTTCAGAAATCCAAATGATTCAGGCAAGAATGTTCTGCTATACTTAGCTGTAACTGCTACTGCTTTATCTTCTTGGGGAAAAAAAACATTGTTTCTCATATCTCTTGCACAATGCTTACAAAGGAGGAGGATGAAACAGAATCCGTTGGTGGAATGGTAAAACAATTCTTTTTAAATGTTGCCTTAATTGATAGGGTGGTGGTTATATCGATACATCTATCAAAATAGCATTTTCTTACGAAGCAATTAGTTTAAACTCGGTTCATTATAATTCCTGCAATAGTCTTTTCTTGGTTCACAGATGTTGCTAGATGAGAAAAATCACTATCTACTCACATAGGGTGAAACAGGTCGAAATGTATATATATAATCCTCATGCATATATCTACACAACTGTCTTTAGTTCTCTGGAAAAAAAGTTTATTTATGTTTTATTTTAATTCTTCAGAACAGTTATTCTAGACTGGTTTATGATAGATATTCTAAATAATAAACTATAGTAAAAGAAACAAGAAGCAAAATCCAAAGTAATATAAAAATCAGAAAGATGTGATTTTTAGACCATGAATTCTACTCCCACCTTAGCTGTGAAAGGTCACCTGGGTGACCTTGGGCCAGTAACTAACTCTCAGCCCAACCCACCTCACAGGATTGCTGTGCGGTAACTAGGAGGAGGATGGTGTGTTGGATAGATTTACCACCTTGAGTTAGTTGTAAAAATAATAAAGGTGGGATACAAATAAATAAGAATAGAATCATTTTGCCTAGTGGCAAAAATATACAGAGTAGAAAATAGATGTGCTCATTTGGTTTATTACCCTCCTACTGAAGATATTCATAACTATCTCATATGACTCTTGGGATAAAAAGAGATAGGTAACTGAGGAGACATTTATGTGAAGAGAAGAAAGAGAAAGGAAGTAGAGATGCCATTGACAAGACCTGAGCAACATTGCCAACTGCTGCTTACAAGGACCTAAATGGGAAGCTCCTGGGTCAAGAGCCACATTACGTAGCAGCACTGCTTGAAGCTCAGCTTGGGAGTTCATGCTGATGCTTAGAGCTTAGCTTGGAGGTTGGCAGTAATACTGTCTTGCAGCTGGAACACAACCACAATGAAACAAAACACTGTAATGGCTAAGCCAAGCCTGCACTAATTCCAAAAGTAGGCAAATAAGCCTAGTAGGAGGCAAGAATGCACATATGGGGAGACTTAAAGGGTCAGAGAGGACTAAATAAACAGAAGACCAAGATCAGAGTGACCTGACCAAGGCAGCTAACTGTGACTGTTAACTCTGTTAACAGAATAAACTGGACTATGTGGGACAATGGGGAGGAAGAAGGGGGTAGAGGCCTCTAGTGGGGAAATCTTGAAATTAATACAATCTTGGAAAAGCTTCCACTTTGCACAATTGTCATATTTTATGATATTTCATTTTTCTCACTTGAGATTTTGTACTTCTTTTAATTATAAATGATAATATTTGGTGGGGGGCTTTGATTTGTGCAAGAATATATAAGATATATTGTAGTACAAAGGAAGAGACTGATGGCTCTCTCTACATAACACAGGTGCTTCTATTTCTGAACAGGAGTCTTTTAAACTCTATGTTTATTTTTTAAAATTGAAAAGGCTTTAACGTAATGCTAATAAAGTATGGGTATTGCTGCTTTTTTCTTCCCCAGTGTATTAAAAATATGGCTATATTTTCAAATAATAAATTGTTCACTTTGTTCTTTATGTAATCCATGCAAAATATTGACTTATATTGGAGTGTTGGATTTCTCTTGTAATAATTGCATGTGTTTTTTTTATTTTTCTCTAGTATGTACTTGTGCTTTGTAATTCCATTGGCACACCCTTGGATCCAAAATATATAGATATTGGTAAGCAAATATTTAATGTATATTTGTATATGTTTGTGTGAACATTATTCTCAGTCTGTTGTCCTCATTAACACTGGTTATTTGGTAGACTTTTTGTTGCAAGTTACAAGTTGTTTTACTTAAGCTTTTCTGATTTCTGCATTGTTTTAAATATATTTCCCTAGACCCAGTTCCTAAACTGACTCAGCATATGATATTCAGTATAGACTAAACTAGATCATATTATAATAATAAAGATGGACAATATTATATTCTTATTGTGAATGTAGGTCTGTGGCTGAGAGACAGTCTCTTATATAATTAATATAATTTACATCACTCATCTTGTGAATTGGTGGATAAGGTGAAATGACGCATTTTTCTTCCAAACTGCAACTCAGTCCTTAGACTACAAAAATATTTACGCTTTTTAAAAGAACTTATGCGTCCTAATATGTTTAATTAAGCACAACAATTTTGCAAAAGCTTTTCAATGTTATTGTTCATTGTTCGCATCTTGATACTAGATGAATTTGCATCAAAGTATTGTTGGTCCTGTTCTAATTATTATTTATTTTATTTATTATTATATATTTATGCCGCCCATCACCTTTGTAGGGTGACTTTTTAATTTGGGTTTTTTGTTTGAATTTTATAATAGCCCCACTGTTTGTTACAATGACCAAAACCCAAGTCATAGCAGCTTCAAAAGAAGCATTTTATATCTGGCAATACCGTGTAGACAAGAAGCTCACAGCAATGGAAATTAATCAGGTAGCACGGACCAGAAAAGAAGGCAAGGAAAGGTTTGTCCATTTGTTGTTGTTTCTTACCTCGTTATCCTGTGCTGAATATCTTGCCACTTATGGTGATTTTATCACATTTGATTAATGACCTTAGCAGGAGAAAAAAATATTTTCTAGGAGAAGGATGTAGAAAATCACATCCACATTGATGTCAAGAACTTGCATAACTGTCCATGTAGTCACCAAAGCATCAAAAGCAATTTAAAGGAATGTTTATCTAAAAAGAATTAAAATGGCTGTTCTTTGAGTAATTGCAAATACAATTGAAATAATTTGTTACTTGTAAATAGATCTCTCTTGGAAAATGAAAGTATGCCGATGCAAGGCGTCATAATTAGAATTTAAAACTCTTTTATTTGAATAGGTTATCCCAAACTGTTGTATCCTTTCTCAATGTAAACTGCAGTGCAATATTTCCTTGGTTTCTTTTAGGATTTACCATGTGGATGATAGTCCTTCCGGTGCAGGTGATGGAGCTCTTGACTATGCTAAAGTCCTACAAGTAAGTTCCCCTTTTAAACAGTAGCTGAATTCCAGGTGCCAAGTTTGTTTATGGGTTACTATTTCCAACTTAAAGATGAAGTCACCTTTTTATTTAAAAAGACATGTTCTGTGTTATAGCTCAGCAACATTTCTTAATGTTATTTCACCTATCCTAGTGGCTTGCTTTGCATCTTGTTCTACAGAAATAAGTTAATTTTGCCTATTACACTGTTATTATTTATATGGTTTCAGGGAACAAGGGATCCTATTTGTGCAATAACTGCATCAGATAAGACACTGATTATTGTAAGTAATCGAGAAGTAATTTTGCTTTATTTTGCAATATTTGTTCTTTGTTTTTCAAATATAACAGTTCTTAAAGCAGTTGAGAAGAGTAAAATTAGTTTAAAAGTAAGTAGTGTATCTAGCCATTATGGATCTGAATTTATATATTGTCCATTAATAAACAGAATTGTATTAGGAATAGGGAAAAATTATAATGAAAGGTAATCTGCAACAACACACAGAGAGAGTACAGTACCTGATACTTTAACAATATTCTAATTAGTTTATTGGAAAATTGAAGGCCAAGTGTTTCAGCCTAACCCCAGCAGGGATTACAACATTTTACATAAAGGCACAATGCAACCACATACATGAAGAATTTTACACATTAAATATTTTTCTGGATGATAATTAAAATAACAGTTAAGAAATACAGAATTAGAGCTATGCATCATTTGTATAAAAATAAATTGACAGACAAAACTTGAGTGAAACACAGTCACCCATTTCGGAGAGACAATCTGCACAAATATTTTGCATTTTGTAGTTTAAGAATCTGGCTTATACCAAACCTAACAACAGTATTTTCTTAATTATGACTAAAAAAATTCTCTATAATCATTATGTGTTTTGAAGGAAGGAATGCTAGATGCACAGGCAAAAAGATCTCCCATGTCAGTTTGTTAAGCTAACGTATGCATGCGGGTATGCACCAATTATTCATTTAGCCAGTTACTAATTTAATCTGAATATTAATACAGAAGCCTTTCCGAAGTGCAGCAAAGGTTTATTAAATGACATGATACACTATTTGCCTTACTAAGTGCCTCTAATGAGGAATCGTTTTGCTTCATAGTGCCTCACTATTTATTTTTGCCTAGGGAAGAGAATCTGGCACCATTCAGAGTTACAGGTTGCCCAATGTTGGTTTAATTCGAAAATATATCCTAAACTGTCGGCCCTACCAAATGTCTTTGAATTGCAAGTCTAGGTAAGAAAAAAAAGATTTGTTATTAAAGCAATTCTCAATTTTTTAATTACAGGTCTTATAAATTGGTTAAATGGGTCTTGAAGGCTTGTAGATAATGTTCTATACTGAAAACAAGATTTTAAAACAGGTAAAGAGCAACTACGATGGAAATGTCAAATTTTGTTTAAACAAATTAGTTTAGAAGCAACTTAGAAGTGAGGAGAAATTCTCTATATTTGTATTACATAGCAAACTTCAGTTTAAAATTTTTTGTTTTTGCTGAAGAGGTATCCAGAGAAAACGTTGCTTTCTAATTTAACACTGAAATATTAATCAAAAGTATTTTTTTCTCCTCTGCTTTTGTTATGTTTGCAGTCGTGTAGCTATCATAGACATGTCAGGTTTGCTGACTTTCTTTGACTTGGATACACGAGTAACAGATGGTTCAGGATCCCAAGGAGTCGGTGAACAACTCAAATTGGAACGCAAAGATGTCTGGGATATGAAATGGGCCAAAGATAATCCAGATTTGTTTGCCACGATGGAGAAAACAAAGATGTATGTGTTTAGAAACCTGGATCCTGAGGTAAAGTAACTAACAATAATGAAAAAAAAATTAATTTAATTGTGATCACTATCATCACCACCTCTTTGAATTTCAGAAAGAAAATAAGTGATGAAGGTCATTTAAATAGGCTAAAGGTTCCTTGAATAATCATTTTCAAGGAGTTGTTCTGCTTTTGATTTTTGCCACTACCACCCCTTCGGTGCCTCTCCATCTGACCATTTATAAGGTGATAAATGAATTAAACATTCATTTATTGAGCATAAAAGTATTGAACAATAGCAATATTTGGTTTAGCATGGTTTATCTTTAAAGATAGACTATCATTTTAGAAGATTACAAGTAAAGTATAACGGTTATTTCTCTGAGGGTTTTTTTTTTTTTACCCTAATCATGCGGTGAGAAATAATTAACTTGTCTTCACATCTTTTGGCTATCACCAAAATTGAATATCTTCCAATTGTCTGAATTATCTTTGGAGTCATCTTTGATTACCCCTCAGAACAAGTACAGTCCTATCTGTTTTAATTGATACTTTTTATTCTCATAGTTGTCCCTTAGTCACTGATGTAAAAGTTTCAAATACTTGGGCTTTCAAATCTATGGTGTTCAATCCCTTGAGCATTCTAATTGCAGGTGTAGAAACTATGATAGCATGGGTAAAAATCTTTTAAGCAGGATTCAAAGAGACTTTGTATAGGATTTCCAAAATGCATTTAAGTTTTTCTTTTACCATTAATTACCTTTATATATTCCAAGGAGCCCATTCAAACTTCTGGATATATTTGCAACTTTGAAGATTTAGAAATCAAATCTGTCTTATTGGATGAAATATTAAAGGTAAGTAAAGAAAAATACATTTGAATCAAAGAAAATGCCACATGCAAAAAAATAGCTTGAATGGAAATGAGTAAGAGATTTTTTTTTCTATTTAAATAGAATCCTGAACACCCTAATAAGGACTGCATAATACATTTTGATATTAGATCACTACGAGATGCTCAGGCTATTGTTAAAGAGGCCGGGATTGCAGAATCTTCTCAGTTCATTGAAGAAAATTCACATCCAAGGCTTTGGTAAAAATCTATTTCCATTTTTTTCCCTACACCGTTTATGTATTATCAGTATAATGATTCATAATAGTAGCTTGCAGTAATTCCTATCACATTCCTAGAATAAACATTACTGGCAGAGAATATTGGACATAGAGAAATTATGGGAAATTTTTCAGGGCTATTTATTTCTCCTAAACCATGGATAGTTATTTTATAATGACTATCCATTATTCTATAATGGTCAGGCAGAGATTTTTTTCCCCAGTAATTTAAATTATCCTACTTAAAAAGAAAAATAGAACAAACAAGAGAAAGTGCAGAGGTGAAAATTGGGACAAAGATTTTCAGAGACTTCTTAAAGTTTTGTGATTTTGAAGGATAAATTTAATAGGACTAAATATGCTTCAAAAATAAGTTCAGAAGAATTATACACACAACATTTTAAGCTACTCATTACGGCATGCCACTCTCTTCAAATTTGACTGTTAGCTTTCACATCCCAAGAAGTAGGCTTCAACTAAAATGTTTGAAATAGTGAAGCTTTTCGTGGAATACTGTGATTGTCATTGCTAAGCAGGATTGTTGAAAAGTGCAGTCCCCTTCCTTATCAACAACACACCAGCTATCCCAGGTAGTGAAAGCCCTGATCATTAAGGGAAGCAACTTCCTGCCGGCTTCCCATAATCAAGTCAGTGGGGAAGCCGGCAGCAAGTTGCAAACCCCAACATACTTCTGGGTGAGGGAGGGAGTAAGGGGATATATGAGAAGGTCTGAGAGGGTCCATGGGGTTATGGTGCAGGAGCATGAGGGTACAGCATGAGTCAGAGAGGGTTTTCAAGGGTATGGGGGAGGGTCAGGGTGTCTGTGCAAAGGCCTCATTACCACTTGGATTTTCAGTCCAAGTGTCAAGAGGCTTCTCCATAACAAAAACCTCCCTTTTCATGACACTGTAATTCCTTAATTCAGGGTATAGTCAGGGTGACTGGATGGAGTTGAACGTTTACTAGCTGGATGCCCTTCCTGATGCCTATGTGGAGTTCACAGCAAATATGTTTTCTTCACGCCCTAGAAGGAAAACATCCTTTGCTACCTAGGATTGAACTCAATCTTCTGAGTGGGAGGCTCAGAATTTTCATCAGTAAGCCACCATGCCAGTCACTTCTGAAGCCTCTGTATCTGGGACTGAAAATCCTCCAGGGCTGAAAATCCTTTTTGGTTTTAAACATCACTTGATTCCGGGGGCTGGCTGAAATGCCTGATGCCAAAATCCTCTTGGATTTCAGCACAGAGCTTTTTCAGCTAGTCCCTAAAGACAGGAAGGATCCTTTTAGAAAGTGGCAACGGCTTGTGATCTACCCTGTCAACTTTCCTATTGACTTCCTGGGGAAGCCAGCAGAGAAGATCGCAAAAGAGAATCACAGGGCATTTACCAACTGGTTGTAAATGTGAATGCATTGCAAATGCCCAGATCTTAATCACATGACAGTAGGGCATCGTAATGGCCATAAGGTTGGGGACTGGTTCATAAATCGTTTTGTTCAGCACCATCATAACTTTGAACAGTCGCTGAACAAATGCTCATAAGTCAAGGACTATCTGTATTCCAAATAAAGATGATATCTATGTAGATATAAACTATGTGTACTTTATACAGGCGTCTCCTGGCTGAAACAGCTCTCCAGAAACTTGATCTTCACACTGCTGAGCAAGCTTTTGTACGTTATAAAAATTACCAGGGTATTAAGTTTGTAAAACGCCTTCACAATCTCCAGAGCGAAGCACTTAGGCAAGCTGAAGTGGCCGTTTATTTTGGAAAATTTGAAGAAGCTGAAAGAATGTATTTGGACATGGATAGAAGGTAAATTGCCCTAGATAAATTTAATTAAGAGTAAAAAAAAATCCCAAGTATATAATAGCATTTGATGGAGGGAAGACATGTTTTTAACCTGATTAATTTTAAAGTGTAAGTGCATACATAAATTACGTTTCCCAAACTGGACTCTTTAGAAAGACTAACAAGAACATGAAGCATGAAGAAGGATTACAGAAAGGTCAAACTAGCCAATTTAAATCTGCAGCATTGAAATTTTTTGCTTGAATTGAAGTTGTTTTCAGAGGCGTCCAGAGATGTCTGAATAACAAAAGCAGCTTCGTGTTGTTTCTCCCTTCAGGCTCTGCCCCTTTTATACATGTGTGTGACATTTTGTTTCATGTACACAACAGATGGAGTTGTGGTACAACAACACAAACACTGCCTTTGTCATTTGCACACATACGCACACACACACACATGGATTATCAACTTTGCTGCTGAAAGCTGAATATTTTGTATAGCTTTGACATAGCTTTACAAAATACAGAGCATTTCTAACCATAATCTAATAATTTCTAAAACTGGGTTATGTAAAATGCACCACTATGACTGCCAATGATGCCAAAGCCAAGGAGATGAGTTGTTGATTGTCCACTGAGATGAGATTTGAAACAATACTTTCTTCATTTGCTACCTTTTCCCCCCCATTCAGTCATGTCTGAATCTTGGAAACTGCCTAGACAAGTCACTGAAGTTTTCTTGTCAAGGTTTTTCAGAAGCTGTTTGCCCTTGCCTCCTTCCTAGGGCTGAGAGAAAGTGACTGGCCTAAGGTCACCTTTGTGCTTAAGGTGGGACTAGAATTCACTGTCTCCCGGTTTCTAGTCTGATGCCCAACTTCTACAACTAAGCGAACATAGCATTGTTGTTGTTGTTGTTTTGCTAAAGTTGTCTATTTGTCACATTCACAGAGATCTTGCCGTTGACCTACGAATGAAACTAGGCAATGGGTTTCGAGTAGTGCAACTGTTGCAAACAGGCTCAGGCCATGGAGACGACAGCCTCCTTGAACAGGCGCACAATGAAATTGGAGAGTACTTCGCCGATAGGCAGAAATGGTATGCTTGTAACTTCCGGTTGTGACCAGTTGCAGTTGTGGAATTCCACTTGCAATTGTGATTGCGACTGACTTTGATGGAACATGTTTTGCATTTTGCAGAGCAAAGGATGAAAATGGAATAGCACTATGTATTTCTCCGATTGCAATTTTAATTAAATAAATTTTTTGCAGGAAAATAGAGAATTATTCTTTTGAGAAACGGAAGTATAAAATGACTCTAGTGCAAAATCTGTTAAAATTAGGTTACAGAATTATAAATAACTGGACTTTTTTCCCCAGCAATCATGCCTTTACTTGATTATACCCTGAGTATTCATTACACGTTTAACAATATACACAAACCATCAGCCATTTCCCTTTTTTCCCCGCTCTCCATTGTAGGGCGAATGCAGTTCCCTACTTTGTACAAGGCAGAAACCATGAGCGTTTAGCTGAATGTTATTATATGCTGGAAGACTATCAAGCATTAGAAAATTTGGCCAATTCCCTTCCAGAAAATAACAAGTTGCTTCCAGTGAGTATAAAAAGCAGCTTTTGGGGATTAGTTACTGTAAGTTGTTTATCTTGAATGAAATCGATTAACAGCCATAATAGCTCAGTGGCTAGAATGAAGTATTGCAAGCTAACTCTACCCATAGCTAGGCGTTCAGTCCTGACCGGCTCAAGGTTGACTCAGACTTCCATCATTCCAAGGTCGGTAAAATGTTGTTGGGGTCAGTAGGCTGTCTCCGTCAACTACTTAGAGAGGGCTGTCAAAGCACTATGAAGTGGTATATAAGTCTAAGTGTTATTGCTATGTTCTGGGAGACTTGTTTCTAGTTACATATGCTTAGGACTGTATTCTGTATTTTATTGATTTGAGCAAGTTTTTTCATCTGAAAAAATAAATCCTCCTGATCTGATTCTACTGAGGGTAAGAATACTGAGGACATAAATGGAAAGTTTAAAAACCAGGTTGTTCCTCATGTTGAAAGGGAAATCTAATTAAAAAAATATAATGCCATCCAATAAAATTTAAAAATGATATTTTTGGTCATATATGACCTTTAGAACAAAAATAACAGCAGTCATACTCTTAACCTTAAGATGGAATTACCCAAAGGGGCTGTGATTGTGAAATGGCTCTCTGTACATAATAAAGCAAAAGCAGCCGTGACCCGTCAAAACCGCGTTCCACAAAAGCGTGGTTGACGAAATCGCGTATGTGACGTCATCACAACGCGACGAAAAAGATCAAAAAATTGAAATAAAAATTAAATTACAGCAAGCCGATTCACATAAAGGTAAGGGTTAGGTTAAGGGTTAGGGTTAGAGCGTTAGCGTTACGTTTAGCGTTAGGTTAAGGGTTAGCGTTAGGTTTTTCGTTAGGTTAAGGGTTAGGTTAAGGGTTAGGTTTAGGGTTAGGTTTAGGGTTAAGTTTGGGGGGGTTAGGATAAGGTTTTCGCTTTATTTTTACATTTTTCGATCTTTTTCGTCGCGCTGTGATGACGTCACATACGCGCTTTCGTCGACCGCGATTTTGTCCTCCGCGGTTTTGTGGTGGAACCAAAGCAGCACAGGACAGGTTACTCTTTAAATTTATAAAACTTGATATATTTATGTTAACTTGATATACTTCAACAAGTATTTCAAAAATATAAAGAATAAAACAGCAGAAACGATGGTGGTAATAATTGCCTTGATTAATCTTGGTTACTAGAATATCACATCCCAAATGAGTTTCTTTGCCAGCACCTGCCACATTTAATTTGTTAGAGATTAAGGAGTTTTGATATCGTATGCTGCTACTCTTCTAGAATGTAATAATACCTTTCCATATCTTTTAGGATATAAGCCATAAGTTTGTTACTGTGGGAATGTGTGAACAAGCTGTAGCTGCCTTTCTGAAATGTAACAGACCAAAGGATGCAGTAGATGTCTGTGTAAATCTCAACCAGGTAAAAATATAAGCATCATATAGGAGACATTGTTTGCGGGAGATTGTCCATATTAATTTAATGGTTGATTTCAAAATAGCTTCCCTTGCAGCTTCAACTGGCAGCTAAGAAATTGAATATATAAGAGAATATAGCAACCTAGGGATTTATGTGTCTTCATGTTCTGTATCTCTAATGGCCACATCAGAAATGACATGAGAAATATATAATCAGTTCTCTTACTGCCTCAAAGCATGTTTGGAAACACAGGGCCCAGTTTGAGAAGCTTAAATATTTTTTCATAGTCCGCAAATATCAAACATACACTCCACCTATTTTTCAAGGGAATACACAGGTTCTCAAACAGTTAACAATGGGGGAAATGAATTCTCTTCTCCCATGGTTCCATTCAAAAGGTCTTGCACAACTAATTTTAGAAACATAAGGGAGGTCCAATCTAGGTATCTCCTGTCTCACATAGTTTGGCTACTTGTTTAAAATACGTTGTTGGGGTAGGGAGAAAAGATACTGCAGCTAAATTATGAGGGGGGGGAGGTTTAATCCATGGATCATATGCAAAATTGGGGACAAAATATTTAATCAAACCATTTTTGTGGAGGTTGGAAGAATGTAAAGGAAAAAGGACCCATTTTGCTGTCTAAATAAGCCTAAACATGGGCTCCCACCCACCCCATTTGATGGAGAAAGCTAAGGGACAAAACGTTTAAAGAACAAATTTCACCTCTTAAAATTCTCATCTTCCTAAATGACAAAACATCTGACATTTAATGATTGTATCAACCATATCCCTGCTTCCCTGTGCAACAAAAATATTACCTTCAAAAGTAGGTACTACAGCAAGTACTATAATGGAAAAGGAATAGACAAATATAAAATATATAAATATACAAATATAAAAAATGGAGATTCCAGATGGAGCTGGAATTACATTGTTAGTTAGGAAATAGATTAATGCAGTAGCAACACAAGTATATATTGATTCTCATGGGCATTTTATTATTAAACTTCTTTTCTTCAAGCAGTTCATTTCTTTCCTTTTGAGAATCTCAATTACCTTATCCATCCAGAGCCTTGTTGGTTTTTCATTTCCTTTCAACTCATTTTCTCCTCTGTATATTTATTTTGCAATTCAATCTTCATTCATTTTCACTATATGCCTAGACCATCTTAATGTATTACTTTTGTACTGATCACTCACACACACATATACGCACAATACACACACTCTTTTGCTCTGGGTCTGTTTTCCTTAAGTTTATTACACCCACTATTATATTCTTGCTTTATTTCACCCAGTTATGATGCACCCCACAGTCAGTGCTTTCAACTTACTGTTATGTTTATCCTACCTTACCAAATTCTGATTTTCACATAACACAATGGAGAGAAGCAGGCTATTATACACAACCTTTTTCTCTCCTTCTGATAAACTTTCTTTCTACCAACATTTAGTAGACATTCTACTAAAGTGCACAAATTAATTCATGTACAGGTGCTCCTTGAGTTATCCATTCACTCAGTGATTGTTCAAAATTATGATAGTGCTGAATTCGGGGGATTTACTAGTCCTCAAAAGTTTTAGTTGTCGCAGCATTCCTGCAACATGATAGAAAGCTGACTGTCAATTTCCATCATTCTCTGCCAACTTCCCACAACGAAATTCAGTGGTGAAGCCAGCAGGAAGTTGGATATGATGGTTACCTAATGACAACAACTGGAAGTGCTAGAACAGCCATCACTAAACAACAGCCATGGGACATTGTGCTTTATGACCAGTTTATTTACCAATCCCAGTCCCAATTGGTGTTGTAAGCCGGAGACTACCTATGCTCTAATTTTGCCATTGATATGTTTTATAATCGTTCACTCCATTGTCCTGTCAGACTAAAAGTTAATTTCCAGATCCATATTCTTTGTTGCATCTAACATTCGACTAACAACATGGCATGATTTGCATTCAATAGGTACATTCATGTCCCTGACAAATATATCTTTAATATTACCATAATCATTCCTTAAACATTTATATATAAATGCATTTAACTACTGAAGAAATAGCACACATACTTGTCTTATTTTCTGCTCCATGTTGAACCACTCGTTAGGCTTTCCACATGTATAAGAGTAGTATAGTAGTATACTCTTAACCAGTCAGTAAAGAACTAAAAGTATAGTCTCACAAAACATTTTGTAATAAAAGCCTGTTCTGTTTATCGCATTTTCTCTAATCCAACAAATGTACAATAAACTTTATTTCAATAGAAGAGAGTATCTGTAACTCACAGTTTAGTGATGGCATCCATGTAACAGCCAAACTCCGATAACACCAAGGCTTTGCAAACTTTCATTCCCACCATATCCATCTTTCTATAATTTCAATTGTTACTTTTGTTTTTTTTAGATTAAAAACACAATTCTAGCTCCAATGATACAAATAGTGAATTACAGGTAGTCCTCAAATTATGACTGCAAATTGAACTGGAATTTCAGTCGTAAATCATGATAGTCACAAGTGGAGGCATCCACATCATGGTCAATTTTTTATGATGGTTCTTAAGCAGATCACGCATTGACTGAATCCACTCTCTCAGATGGGCACTTTTTTGTTAAAAACCGGCAAAAAATACTGGAAACCAGCAAACAACTTTACAAATTATGATCATGAGACTATGGGACTCCAGTCATAAATCTGAGCCAGCTGCCAAGTACTCAAAATGTGATGATGTGACTGTGTGTGTGTAGGAGTGACTTTTTATGATGGCTGGAAGTGCTTTACAGTCTGCAAAGCATCCTTTTCAAGGCTGTCTTAACTCCAAATAGTTAAATCAAGGACTACCTCTGTGCTATTTAAACTGTCATCTTATCATAAAAGACAGATTTTTTTTTCCATTTAAAATACCGTTTAGTAAATCTTCTTGTAACTCCATGACATCTAGTTATCTTAAGAAGCCATGTAAAAGGACATAACAATAAGTTTTATAGGTACTCAGCCTTCTATCCTTCTGAGGTCAGTAAAATCAGGACCAAGATTGTTGGGGGCAATAGGCTGACTCTGTAAACTGCTTAGAAAGGGCTGTACAGTACTGTGAATATAACTCTTAAGCGTTATTGCTATAGAAGATGTTTATTTTGCCCTACTTTCCCACAACTCTGAGAACTGTTCCACAAGATTACAACCCCAATATATCCCTACAAAATGAAGTGTACCCATGGCCTAGTAATCATCAAGTCCCCTAGATTACATTCTGTGATAAGAGAGTACATTTATTCCAGACTTGCTCCTAAATTTAGAATTGCATTGATTAATGGTTGTTGTTTTTTCTTCTAGTGGAGTAAAGCTGTTGAACTAGCTAAGGAACACAATATGAAAGAGATTGGTTCTCTTCTAGCTAGATATGCATCTCAGTTATTGGAAAAGAATAAACCTCTTGATGCCGTTGAACTATATCGTAAAGCCAATTATTTCTTTGATGCGGCAAAACTAATGTTCAAGGTACTGTTGTTAAGGGATATCTGGACAAAAATGGGTGAGATGGAATAAACAGTGATGTTTTAAAAACATCTGATGGAATAGATTCTTCTTTTTCTGCTGCAGAAGATTTAGGGCAGGTTTTGCCAGAGTCAAAAGTCTACTGGTATATTAAGGAGCATAGCTTGATGCTAACTATTTAAGAAATTGACAGTTTTTATTCATGGTAGATTTTTTTTTTTTTGCCATTAATGCTTCTATTAATAGGAATACAGTAAATATTCACATTTCTCTTGTCATACTATCTATTTGATCTGTTAAAGCCTTTACAGGCTTAAAGGAGATTTTGTGCACATCGTTAGCATTTATCAGTTTGTTCGGCAATAGTTGTATTGAACTAGAAGCTGCTTTTACAGTTTGTTTTTGCCTATATTCTTCTGAGACTCCAGACCATGAGCATGAAGACTAATTATACGTGGTATTTTTGATATACAGATTTTTGGATGAAGATGAAGATACCTTTAATGTTGAATTCCTGTGATATTAAACTTGATTCATTTTACCTTTCACATACAAATTAACATTTGGTTTGTAACTTTAAAAAAAAGTACAGATGTTTTTCACTCCCTCCAAAGAGATCCATATTTTGCCTATTTTTCCATTCTGTTATGGGTCATATTCAATTTAATAAGAATGCAAAAAAAGACTTTTATTAAGAAATCCTTTGCTTCCAAGGAAGAGTGAAAATTGTTAAGGGGAAAACACTTTGAAGTATTGTCAGTTTTTTACAAATGTCTGAGTAAGATATGAATCTATTTATCGTGCAAAATGCCTTTATAGTCTTAGTTTTGTATATGGCATTGTAATTAGAAAATAAATCTAATTTGTAATGTTTGCCTTTTTAAAGATTGCAGATGAAGAGACTAAAAAGAGAACCAAACCTTTACGGGTTAAAAAGCTATATGTCATGTCGGCTTTACTTGTTGAACAATACCATGAACAAATAAAAAATTCACAGAGAGAAAAAGTCAAAGGAAAAACTTCAGAGGTAAAATTTCAGAATACTTCATCATCTCTGGTGTGACTGCAAGAAACCCCTCAGAATATAGAGTTGTGAAGTATTTCCATAATGTGACAACTCATATTTCCTACCAATATTATCCAACAATATTTAGAACACCCTTTGGTTTTACAAATGCATATGTCAAAAAGCTATATGTCAAAATGGGATAGATTCCTCACCATAAGCATTTTGGAGTGAAAGGTTAGTAATGCAAGATGGTGGACACAACATTACAGACCATGCCCTGTCCCTTTTTTGTATATTTGCGATAATTGATGCACAATCAAAACACTTATTCCATGCTCACCATCTTACAGAAGCCATTGCTGTTCCTCAGACAGTTTTCCTTTGTTTACATCTTCCATAGAAAAAAGGAAAATCGTGGAATTTCCAATGACACTTTTCCCTTAAGAAAAATTCTAATTAGTACTGCGTTTCCCCAAAAATAAAACGGGGTCTTATTTTCTTTTGACCCCAAAATAAGCACTTGGCCTTATTTTTAGGGAAGTCTTATTATTTTTGAGGTGCAGGAGATAGCAAGCGTGGTCATCTCATGGCTGCTGCTGTGTTGCAGTATTTTCGGGAGGGCTTATTTTAGCGCATGCCCTCAAAAGCCCGCTTGGGCTTATTACCTGGGGATTTCTTATTTTCAGGGAAACAGGGTAGGAGGAAAACCTTGGGTGAAACAGCTTCTTGGTCCCCTTTATTGACATTTGATTGTATACAAAATGCCCCCCCCTTCTGAAATGCATAAGTTCTGTTGATCTGACCATTATCCAAGTAAAGAGCTGTGGTGCAGTGGTTACAGTGTAGGCTAATTCTGCTGACTGCCAGCAGTTTGGCAGTTTGATTCTCACCAGCTGCAGGTTGATTCAGCCTTCCATCCGCCCAGGTCGGTAAAAATGAGGACCCAGATTGTTGGGGGCAATATCTGTAAACCACTTAGAGAGCACTGTAAAGCACTATGAAGTGGTGTATAAGTCTAAGTGCTAGTCAGGGGTGGGTTTCAAAAATTGTTTGAACCTACTCGGTGGGCGTGGCCTCCATTGTGGGAGTGGCTTGCTACACATGTGACCGGATGGGAGTGGCTTGCTAATGCCGCTGCTACCGCCGCCACCGCTAACGCCGCCCCCCCACCCGCCTTCGGTCGTGTAGTGCACGCGAGCCCGCAGCTTTTGCAAGGGAAGGCCTGGAGGCCTTCCCTCGCGAAAGCTGGGCCGCCGCCACCCACCCGAAGCCTCCCAAGTCCCGCTGCTGGGGCTTTGTTGCTTACCTGAGGGGGAAGCAGCAAGCGAAGGCTGAAGGGAATTTTCAAATGGAGGTGATGCGCGAAAAAAGCTTC